TCTAAAGCCATCAAAAGAATCAACTTTGTGATTTACTGCTACAATTAATAATTGTCTCAGTAAATGCCCAACCCCTACAGAACTGGTGCCTTCAGAGAGCCACTATGATTACATATTTGGCGTCCCTGAGCCGGTTTTCCTACAAGGTCTTAAATTGAAGTGACCCCTTGTCTTTGAGTGTGAACAGTCAAATTTCTTGTATTTCTTATACAAGAAGAAATCCACTCAGCATACAAACATATGGAAAAAAAAGCCAAAAAACAGCAGGCGGAAATTTTGTTTTGGTCTTCAGAGGTCAGCATTTTCCATTCTAGGCCTGTCAGAAATGCTTTGTAGACATTGTCCTAGGTGTCTACTAGCTTGGATAAAACTCTGGGACAAATTGATCAATTTGAAAAAAATCTACATGATATTTTTTGAAGACTGGACCTGGAATTAAATTGCTCCCAAATAAATCATAAAAATATTGAAAGCAATAACAATACAAAGCATTGCAATTGCTATAAAAGCCTTTAGACACTGCTAGAGAGCCTTTTTCTGCTGTTAGGCATTGAAAAAAAAAACTTCTGTGCTTGCCTTCTGGTGTGAAAAAAAGGAGCACTGATTAGAAACTGATTGATTACCCTTTCTGAATCAATGATTGACAGCTAGAAAGCTGGAAGTCTTACCCCCTAGGGGCTCTGAATGGCTGAAAATCCAATGAATGACAGCGTTTTTTTACCAATCAGATCACCTTATTTCTGGCGGTCCTGCTTCAAATATCTATTACAAAGTCAATAACCTATCAGTAGCCTCCAGGTCTGGAGGAGGGTTAGTCTGGGCTCTTTGGATATATATCGTGCTTCAGAATAAGGTAAAAACATGGGATATATTTTTGCTGGTTTTGCTGGTACTTTTGCGATCGTCTTGTTTTTTTTTAAAGCTCCGGTTGTCCTTTTTCGATTGATAACATGTTTTTGTGGTTTTGTTGGTAAAAAAGGATTAAATATGATGCAGGAATCAAAAGTAGGTATTGATTTACACCATGGACTCTTGTGACTACGCCAAGCATGGGACATGTTAGACTCTATGAACGTTTTTTCTTTAAGTTCTAAAAACGTTTTTGTGAAGCTCTAGTTGAACCTTATTTGATTGATAAAATGTTTCCTGCAAAGGTTTCGTGGTTTTGGTGATGTAAAACAATGAAGTGAGATGCTCCTTTTGAGTCAAGTTTTTCTTAGAACGTAGGTGCTTGCGTCCATGAGCAGCATTAAGTTGACAAGAACATTCCTTCACTTCAGATGACACAATAAATTGATATAAGAAACAAGCGTAAACATAAGTTTGGTATTTGAGGACATTTTTAATAAATAATGTGAAAAAATTACATGTTTAGGATTATGTGATCCTCAATATGCAAAATAATGGCTAATGAGAAAGAGGTTGCCTTTTATATGGAAAAAAATATGAAAAACAATGCTAATTCCCTTCCACCTGAAAATCAATGCAATCATTGTTTAACTCTTTTTAACTAAATTGTAGTACAAAAAAATTAATTTGATGGCACTCAGATTGGCTTTATTCACCTGTATAAAACAGTACAGTACGCATGAATTAAAAATTGATGGACTTTCTTCCTGAAGCAATCAAATATATTGTTTACTTTCACAGATGTCGGGAATTGAAGGCATCGTCCCAAACAGACTCAAAGAAGTTGATCCACTGCCTTCAGGAATTATGTCTTGAGTTTTTGCAAAGTATATGTTGAAGTTTTATGTGAGTGAAACACCTCCAGCAGGATGCTCTCATGTGACCAATGCAACTCCTATCCTTTGCCACCAGCTTATCATCTTTAACTACATCACCATGATAAACAATACTTTTTTGTCACACTTTATTCAGTAAGACAAAAAGATTAATAGATAAAATGGTTTAAAATAAAGTTTAGTGATTGTGCTTTTAAAACCAAAGAAAAGAAATCAAGAATTTCAAACAGTGCATTATAAACAAAACAAAATGAAATCCATAAGTGGCACTTTCTTGGGGTGGTTAAATGTTTAAACAATTTACAGCTTGAATAAAAAAACAACAAGGAAGACAAATTTTAAGTACCACAACAGGTTACTAAAAAAAGAAAAAAATATTTACAATACGGGCCACCCCAATATGCTTGTAGCTAATTTTTATTACAGTAACATATGACTGTAAAGGGCTTTAAAATGAGTCTTGACAAAGCAGTCTCTGTCATAATAGTCTGTGTAAACTATTACCCCATATTGCATTGAAATTGAAAAAGTACCACTAGTTAAATTGCTTTCAATGTACTTTTTTATAAAATGGACATCATAAATTAAAAAAAGAACAGAACATTAATAATTGGTCAGTTTTCCAGGTGTAAAGAAACAATGTACATAGTTTCACCAAACATAAGATCTGGTATTCAAAATTAGAAGACTGGATACTGTTTTACCAAAACTTCTTAACAGATTGGTCTTGTTTCCCTCTGTTGTGTTCAGCTTTCTGCCTCCTGTTAGTAAAACAAAATAGAAAAAAATACTTCATATTTTAAAATGGACAACCTAACTATTTTTGTTAATTTCTCCCAACAAATGGAATTAAAGTTCTTCTGACTGGACCTATAATTTTTTTTAATATTGGATACTGATTCAGAACTAATTAAATTGATTAGGCTTTACTCTGTTAAGTATTTCTATTGTCTTTTGTTTCAAAATGCAGATATAAAGCAGAGTAGTTGTTATGGTTTGGAGAAAGTGTAAATATCCCAGGAGTACAGTTGGCTATAATTGGCTGCTTGGTTTCCTAACCAATGGAGGAAGAAGACTCATCCACCGATCTGGTACCACTTTTCTGTTTTGCCCCCAAATTATCAGCATTTCCTCCAGTGATGGAACAAGATGAGGTGACTTTCTGTACAACTTAACTCTGACCATCATGGTGAAACTTACACTACACCTACAATATTATATCTATAATATGACCTATTGTGGCTATATTTGGTCATTGCTCTCTGTATTAAAAGCTTTAGAACACTGGTCTTAATGTCTTTTAGGCTAGTTGTGATGTTAGTATAAAGGTTATGGTAATACCAGGGAAAAGTGATCAAAGCAGTTTTTAAAAAAGCAGTACCCTTTTAACATTATAAAATAAAGCAAAGCAGGGGTAAAGTAAAGCAAGATTCACTTCCCCTTAAGGGTAAGGTTATTAAGGAGAGGCATGAGTGACTTTTTAAAAAAGAAGGTTTATGCATGAATCTGGTGAGGCAAAAACAGTGAAACAGGTTGAAACAGTGAAAGGTTTTTATACCCTGGTTAGTCTAGCATCTGTCCAAGTTTTAAAATTCCCAGGATCATTACCAAGATTACAGAAAACAGGCAGCAGGGTTTGTATGACAAGGGGATCATTTGTGCTGGTCATCCATACCACACTACCAGGTCAAGGAAGAACTGCCACCCCTAGCCAATCAAATTATTGTGCTGGCTATCCTGTGCCAAATCATGTTAATGTGGCCTAGTAAATCCACTTGCTGGACTTCTCCAAAACAGGACCAATATCAGGAATAACACACAGACCTACAGACATGAAACAGGCACCAAACATTATTCACACCACTTCCAGTATATTCTACCAGAGCTTTCAAAGCTTAAAAATAAAGCAGGTAGGAATGTTAATGTATTCTATCAGGTGTCAAGGCTCTGCATTCTGCCCTTTTATACCATACTTTATGCTTAATGAGTTAAAAAACATATAAGCAAAAAAGACAGAAACCCAACAATGTTGCAAGTTAGAACTGTGGGGCATTTACTGAGCTTTGAGAGGGGATGATAGACTGATAGGACTGTTTTGTGCAAACAGTACTATGTTCCATTAGTTTTTTCAGGAGTACTAACACTGTACTCACTTTATATTAAGTACTTGCTTTATTACAGTTACTTATAGGCGATTACATCAGGGGCAGAATAATTTACACTGCAAGCAGCACACGTAAACCACCATATCCTTCTGGAGTGTATAACAATTTATATTGCATTTTAATACCATAATAAATCTTTAGACAAATAAATATAAATAATAAGTGATGAAAATTGAGCTGCTTGGATGGTAATATAGCATTTTCTAAGACAGTGACAGATTACAGATGCTTATGATCAAAGGAACTGCCTTTAACGAAGATTAAATGGTCTTTTTGATATGCAGAGTGCTTTAATTAATAATGGAGATAACCGCATGAGCACCCAGGCTAGAAACTAAAAAAGCAAATCAAAAAGACAGCTAACAACGTGCCTCTAATTCTTCTTCTTCCTGTTCGAAGGTTCCCATTCCAGGCATTCCCATGTCAGAGGTGTTCCTGCGCCCCCCGCCTGTCTGCTCTGGTCTCCGCCGCCCCCCCGAACCTCTGGAGGACATGGAGCTGGATGAGCTGGGGTCTCGGGGGCTATGCACAGCAGGGAACGAGGGCCGGCTATATGGAAGAATGTCCTCAGCAGCTACAGCAACAAGAAGCTAGCATTAGAAACCACCACAAAATAGTTGCATTCAGTATTTTACAGTAACATGCAGTTCGAATTTCATCATACAGTAAACTGCTTGGATCTGGTGGTCTACAACACACATCTTATAGATACTTATGTGCCTTAATTTTCTTGCTTCAGTTTTCCAGTTTAAAAGGTATTTTGGGATTACTGTCCCACCCCACAATCCCTTCAAATCGCATCTATCTTTCTGTAAAAAAATGTGTACCCACAGGCAATTCAATGTTAGAATTGTTTCCCATTTTAAAAGGTAGAACACTGTCACACAAAATATTAAAAACTGTGGCATTAATTGTGAATATATGGAAAGATAGAACAAAAACATTCAACAGAAACAGAAGTCTTAAAAATCTAATCTCTCCCAAGATAGAATTTACAAGTTAGAAGATAAAACTGACTAACAAAGCAACAAAAGTAGGATAAAAATGCAGTTGTCATGAGGTAATCTGGATAGTGCTACTGTATGTCAAACTGGATATGCATTTTCTTCAATGTGGCTAGTAGCATGCACTAGTTTTACCAAATACATCAATACCTTGGGGCTGGCGAGACTTGGCTGGCGTGCTCTCATGTTTTACTGCTTTGCTTCCACGGGTCTTGTGCCTTTCCTGGGACTCACGTCGCTCCGATGAGCTTGTGCGTCCATCTGAGTGCTGTCGTGGGTCTGAGCCTTCTCTACCTCTGTAGTTGGCACCTCTCTTCTCACCTGGCCGCTCTGCCCTCTGGTCTGTAGATGCCACTTTTGGGGACACAATGGGACGGCCTTCAAGCAGGGACTTGGACTGGTGAGTGGGAGACTTAATCACAGGAGGAGGCAGTGGTGGAGGCGGTAGGTCTGTAGGAAGTGATGAACACCAGAAATGCAATCAAATCCAAGTGTCAAGCTTCAGATTCAGTAGCTCAAACAAATCCTTGAGGCCTTGAGGTGAAAAGTATTGGAAGTCTAATAGACTTTAAATGTATATTCGTCGTCACTCGTCTCCCTGAGGTAATGGTCACCTGCCCCTAAGAATGAGGCTGATGGGACTTTTCTCTTGTCATGAGGAATAAGCCAGAGAGCTGGTGCAACGGTCATGAAGTGGTTGTACAGCAGGAAAGATATTCATGCATAGGTGAGATTATAAATTTGTCCTCCTAAAACTAAAAACATCATAAAATATCATAATGAAAATGTCACAATTTTAAGAATATAAGAAGAGTGACAGACAAAAAAGATATCTGACAAGTCTTGTTAATTTAGACACAAGCAAGTAAATGACTTAAGGATGCACACGGTAAATCCCAGAATGCCTGCTTGGCGTACTTTACAATTTGGTTCAACATTTACACCTGGCAACGGACAATTTTGCAATGGCATGTGAAATAATTTATGACAGCACTTTCTTTTTTCTGACAATAATAGGCTATGCAGCAGCAAAGCAAAAGCCTTATACAGTACATACTTAAAAAAAAGAAGGAAAAACACTTGTTTTTCACAGCAAGCTTAACCTTTAAATTGTATTTGAGAAACCAGATCAAACCAATCCCTAAACATTTAGCAGATCTGAATCAGCAATTTTCCTGCAAAACTACTTGAGAAGATATTTCGTAGCATCTGCAAACAGCACCTCAATCTGCCTTCTTCTTAGTCAATTAATCAATCCATCATGTCCTTGAGTCATTATTTATTGTAGCATTTGTGTTGGATACAACATTTAATGTCTGTGAGCTCACACATACACACGTTTGCAAGGCAGAAATCCTTTTCTGCTTGTGATCAATATGGCTTTTGATCCGCTAATCAGCTGCGCTTGGAGGAGCAGCTTTGTTTCTGCTATCTTCTGTAATCCACACAGGATTAAATACTTCATAAACACAGAATAACATTGACTCTTTTATGCTTTAGAAAACTTTGCCATTAATGGAACTGTACATAGCAGGTCTAGAAAATAAAATTATGTTAATGTTACTGGATCTATAGGTTTGCAAATTTAACAGTAATACAGTAACAATGTATTACAGATCAAAGTTAAGCATATAACTTCTTTTATGAGACATTTTTTATTGTGATCCACTAATCAGCTTCAATTACAACTTCAATCAACTACAATGTTTTAATTAGTCCAGCCAATAAAGCATAATTTTTTTGTTGTTGCTGTGATTACAAATGATTTTCTTAAACTACATGACTGATGCACCTGATTTTTTCCTTACTCACTTTTGTTTGTCTTTTCCATCTAGGCTTTAAGTAATACACTCACTCACCTCTATTTTTCATCTCTGGGTATTTTTATTTGCCTTGAAATTCATCATATACTGTACATTTGAGCACTATAATGTACCAGAGTGCTATACATATATTAAAACCAGTTATAAAAATTATGACTTATAAATCTTATTATTTTATGACTTGTTAAAATGTACAAATGGTGCAGAATTGCGCCTAGCAGAAACCATTCAGTTTCTTTGATAGACCTTCAAAGGAAAAAGGTTAAATGTGCAGAGGGAGACAGAAAAAGAGTCATTAAACGCTTATTTGAATTGTGCAGGCAATCAGCTGCACACTACGCTCTCACTCAAAGATGAAGAACAGTGAGCAAACAACGATGAAATTAGCAGGCCACGGAAGGTCCCACTGGTGTACGCCTGCCTATTGGACATTTAACAAGTATTATATTTATAGGCATACTGGCTCACTGCTAATGTAGTCAGGCCTAAAATGGCAAATGCAGCAAGGGCCTCCTTGAAAACCACATGAAATTGTTCTGTGGGGGGTGCCATCAATGTACAATTGCTTATAAAGCAGAAGATTTACACCCTGAGCTCCCCTCTTGCACCGCTGCACACAGATGAAAACAGAAGCACAATAACTTCCCACCATCAGATCAGGGTCAAGATAGGCTGGTTGAGAGCACACCAGCCAGCCAGGCACGGCGTGTCATGCCAAGCTGCCTAATATCCGACAGACAATGGGAGCAGAGCTGCAGAGAAGGGAAAGGGAGATAATGGCGAGGATGCAGTGAAATTACTTGTGCTCCACATGCAGCATGCTTGATATTAAATTTTTCTGTCAAGTGGTTAGGAACTTGGACAGATGTAAATGAAACATGGCCTTATGCACTCCTGGATCAGAATCTATAATATTAGCCTTTTTATATGATAATGGCACTGGATAGCCCTCTAAGAAGGAAAAACAAAACATAAACTGCTGATTCTAATGAAAGTTATAAATCAGTTTCCAAGATAAGTGGTGCTGGAGTTCAGAATTACTGGCTACAAACAGTTGACAAGATAGTTAAGCTTCTGCAAATGTATTTAACAGGAACCACCGATGAGTCTCACTTTACCTACCCCACCCCCTTACTTTATGTTTTTCTTTGTTTTAACTGGAAGATGGTGCTTTAATAAAAGCTGTGACATCTGGGGCAATTTCATTAAAGTGTTCTGCTAGACAACATCACAGTGTCAGCAGTATCCTAACACTACTCCCCAGAGATTCCCAGCAGTATACCTTTTCAGTGCAAGCAAATATTGCAAGTGATGCTACATGTATGTGAGGAGATAGTTAAAAGCACTGACTTACAACTCACTCAGAAATATTTCTCTATTGCCATTACAATATTAATTCAAAACTGTTGGAGCCACAGGGCCTGCTTGGCTGGGGAATTCAAATGATAAAAAATAAAGGGGCATATATAGAATTGCTGTACTGTGTATCCAGGATGGTAACCTACTGAAGAAACCTCAGATTCCAGCTCATATTCATTCTGCACTCAGGAAGAATAGAGAAAAGGGTAAGGAAGGTGGGCAGTAAGCTGACATCCCAGGGTTGCATAAGGCTTGATATGGAGTATTTTCACATTTTACAAAACAGTTCAGTGAAAAACAGCACAGGACTAGGAACAATATATACCCATACACCTTTTCTTCAGCTCTTCCCACATAACAATTTGCTCCCTACCTTCTGTGTAGGCATCTCGGCGTACTGGGGCATGTTTCTGTTTTTTGGTAGGTCGGGTTTTTTGCATGACAACAGCACTCATGTTGCTGTCTGTGGAGACAGGGCTGGTAGGTCTGTGGCTGTGGGGATTCATAAAATGTCTTCGCCCTGTGGAGAGAGAGAAAGAGAAAAACTAAATCACATTAGTGGGCTTTCATTTAAGTTTGATTAATGAAAGTGTAGCAAGAACTGTGGCACCAGCTAGACTAAAATCACACTCTAGGTATAAATGCTGCCACATTTCATAATATATTTTACATGCTCCAGGTGCAGTTGCTTTTAGTTGTTTTTTTAAGTTGGAAAAAAAAAATCCTAAGGTTCCTGTGCAAGGCATGTGATCCATACTTCGGTACTGTAATTTTTAGAATGTCAGCAAAGATAACCAGATATTTCTAAAAAAAAAAGTCTCAGTCTAGTTACAGATGTTTGGACAGCTGTCTCTTTCAGTGTTACCTATTCTCCTAAAGTAGGAAAACATACCTCCAGCAGAATCTGGCATAGAATACTTGGCAACTTTGAGTCCAGCATATTCAGCGGCGGCGGCCACAGCTTGCGCAAAGTCAGCATCAGTGAAGAAAGAGCCATCAGAGGAGCTGACGGCACTCGATCTGCCACTGGAGGCGTTGTCTTCCTCAGAGGCTGAGCCCCAGCCATTGATCATGGAGCCCGTTACAGAGCTCTCCAAGTCCCCCACACTGGAGGCAGGGGTCTGCTCGAGACCTCGCAACAGCAGCCTCCTGGTGTGCACTTTGGCCACCTCCACATCTGTTTCATCCCCCTCCTCATCTGGCCCATCGGTGTCCAGTGCCAATGGCCCCGAGATGTACCCATATGTGTGAGGTGGAGAAAGAGGTCTTGGGGGAGGTGGAGGGCTTACTGTATGGCGCCTAAAAGAGGGTGAACAAAAGTGCTTGGAATTGTCATGGAACTGTATTTCTGTAATACACGTAAGAAGGTAAGTGACACTCTCTAGTACAAAATTCCAAGCTCAAAACATAGCGCAAAGTTTGAGAATCTTACAGAGCCAGAAACAGACATGTGTAAGGCTTGTGGTAGTCTTATGGACCTGGAAATATTACATGAAATTGGGATTTATTAATGGATTACTAAGTATTGTTAAAAAAACATTAAGTTTTACAAATCAACATTGCAATGTCGACATGCAGAAGATCCGACAGCAAAATATAGAGGGCTGAGCTTTGAAATGTGTTATTCGATGTCTGTCTACATCTATCTTCTACAGACTAAAACCACCCGGTACCTGCGGTCGTGTGGGTGTTGTGCAGGTGCTATGCTGTCCTGGCACTCTGGGAGCATGGGCTGCAGCTCCTCCTGAGGGGAAGGCGTGAGAGTGGCTGTGGACTGGTGGCTATAGGACACGGCTGCTGGGGAGGAGGCAGCTCCCCTCACTGGAGGGGTAGGACCCCTCTCTATCTCTTCCTCCTCTTCCTCCTCCTCCTCCAGTTCATCCTGCTGCAGGTACATTCTGGTCGGGGGAACTGGGCACTGCATGTCTGGATCAAAGCTGAACCAAAAAAAAAAACGAAAAGAGATCTCAATTTACAGATGAAATGAAAACGAAAGCTTTAATTTGAAAATAACAGGCTAGGCAGTGCTACATCTTAGATAGGATATCAGTCCATCTTTGGAAACATATAGGGACAACTTAGACACTAGTATATACAGCATTTGTAGGGCTGGAGGAAATCAGAGCACCTGTTTATTACTGTTTATTAAACTGTTTATTAAAAACTCAGATTCTTTTAGCATTACCAAATGGTTTATCTGAAGTCAAACAAGACACAAATAGTATGTAAGGCACTGCAGTTGTCTATACATGTATGTTAATACAAATATATTCTGCAGTTTTTGCAGATATAGAGCAGCAGACAATCCTGACATCTTGAACTGTGACTTACAGAAAGCCTACATGTTAGTAGATCTAGGTCCCCTATGGGAACAGGACTGCTAATTTCTTTATATCAGACTCAAGCAGTGCTTTGCAAAAGTATTCATCTCCTTCCAATGATGTCCATTTTTGAATTACCAATGATTACCCAGTGATATATTTGTTGTGTATACATCAAATAAAAAAAGATTCAAATATCAGCAGCCATATCACCCTGTAACTCACAACTGGCAACTGAAGCTAAGCAGGTGTGAGCCTGGTCAGTACCTGGATGGGAAAAACTAAGGTTGCTGCTGGAAGAGGTGTTAGTGGGGCCAGCAGGGGACGCTCACCCTGTGGTTCATGTGGGTCCTAATGCCCCAGTATAGTGACAGGGACACTATACTGTAAACAGGCGCCGTCCTTCAGATGAGATGTAAAACCGAGGTCCTGACTCTCTGTGGTCATTAAAAATCCCAGGGCATTTCTCGAAAAGAGTAGGGGTATAACCCTGGCGTCCTGGCCAAATTTCCCATTGGCCCTTACCAATCATGGCCTCCTAATAATCCCCATCTATGAATTGGCTTCATTGTTCTCCTCCCCACTAATAGCTGATGTGTGGTGAGCGTTCTGGCATACTATGGCTGCCATCGGATCATCCAGGTGGAGGAGGGGAGTCCCCATCACCTGTAAAGCGCTTTCTGAACATCCTGTACACTGCAGAATGTTTCAACAAGCTTGCCATTCAAAATCATTATTCACGATAACTCAAATTATGAATTTGAAATTCCTGCTGAGAAAGCTTTAGATGTTCTGCCACACAGGTATTGGTACTATGGCCCCTTTGCTGTGTTAGAAAGCCGGGCTCAGACACCCCACCTCTCCCCCACGGTGATGGCGTACTCCTCAGTGCTTCTGCAAGGCGGGGGGTTTGCAGGAGGAGGAGGGAGGAGGTCAGTCCAGTTCATCGTGCCCTGCTTAGCAAGTCTAGGTGTCCGGGCTCCCTTTTTGTGACCTTGGCTGCCTGCGAGACAGATTGCAAGGGACCATTAACAAAACGTACACGAAGACTAATTGAGCGTAATTATCTGCAAACCAAAACCAAACTGGCAAAAAAAAAAACAAACGGTATCATTTAAAATATGAGGGTTGATGTTGATAAAAATTTCATAGAAGAGGGAAACAGGCACTAATGGATTCCATGTAGTTATTTATGCAGTGAAAGCCATATACACATTATCTCTCAATTGGTAATAAATGTCAGGGATGTCATCAAAAAAATACGACCATTTTTCAAAAGCTATATTATCTGTTAGAGAAAGATGAAAAAAACAGAAGCCAATTAACTGCAATGAATTAGAATCCCAAACAATTGAGCTGTAGAATTTTAGTAAAATGGTTGCTGTTGTTTAATTGCTTAAACTTCACATACAATATAAAAACAGATAAGATCTATTAAAGTTGCACTGTAGCATGCCGTCTGGATTGTATGCAATTTGTACTTGTCCAGCAACAAACACATAAGCTGTGATGAAATTAATGCTTTCTGCAGTAAGATGAAGGTGATCTTAATGAACAGTTTCCCAACAGCTGCATGCAGTGAAGAAGGAAATTAAACAAACCAGCAAATATGCAACAAATGCACCACAAAAAATCCATCCCTTTAATTTTAAAGTCTAGTCTAGATTTTACAAATCATTTAACAGGAAGAAATAATATGTAAATATCTGGTAGGGTATACTTTACCATGTACAGTTTACCACACAAATTCTTGCCACAAATTGGAGACAGAGTGCTTTATTCTTGTCTAGTATAGCACATGCTAGAATCTGATTATTTTAGAGGGAAATAGAATTCTACATTAAACAGCAAGCTACATATATCTTACTTCAACTTATGAGACATTTATATAAATTATAAATACCAGTTCTGATTAATGCTTTAAAATCTTTTACCAAAACTGAGCTAACATATCGCATTGTATATGTGTGGAAGAAATGTTTTTAATGAAATCTCTTGATGTGAAATCCAGATGGCTTTTTGTCAAAGTCTGAGGTGCAGTTTTGAAGAACTGATGATTTGTCACAGTAACATCAAAAATCAGAACAAAACAAATAATTGTATTCAACTGTAAATAAAATTCCACTGAATCAAAACTGTCTTCCCCAGGTAAATATGCTCTGCTTTAATCATCACAGAGCTGTACTCACCAGATGTGCTGCTGCCTCTGTCCGAACTGTTATACGAGCCTGCAGCGCTCTGCTCATGTGACTGGTTGTATGGAATTGTAGCTGGCATGGTGCTGTCGCCAACCCGATAATCTGTGACCACATATAGTACAAAGAAAATGTTTTAACACTAGCAAAGCTGATAACCTGAATACATCAATATTGGTCTTGAACAGAAAAGACTACAAGGGGACCTGAATCAAGTATTCAAAATTCCAAAAGGCACTAATGGATTCATCACAAAGCACTTCTTTAAAATAAATAGCGAAAATTACTTGCAAGTGCACTTAAAACCAACAGCAGTCACTTCTTTATAAACAGGGTTCTGGGAGTGTATAGCACAAGCTACACAGCCATGCTGTTAAAGTCAGTACCCTGGTTTCTTTCAAGAAATGGCAAGATGAGATCTTTGTATCAATTAACAACCAAACACACTAGATGGGCCAAATGGGACTGCATTCCTTTGTAAACTTCCTTAAACAAGCTGTTACTTTCACATCATTTGAAAATTTTATGCTCAATGCAAATTATTTGTCCATCATTTTTATACTAATATTTGATATTATTATATAAGACAAATACTGGATATTGTATAGTTAGGAATGATTGTGAACTATTTTGGACAAAAGGCTTGAAAAACTTTCTTTTTGAACATTAACAACAAGCAATAATTTTGTTTGCATTCGATCAAAATTATACATGCCAAGTGCCAAACAAATTAACAAATGCCTGCAGTCTTCATTTGGAAATGCATTAAAAAAGTGATCCAACTAGTTCATGGTTGAATTTTGCAATGCCCTGATACTATATACAGTGCAAATTCCAAAGCTTTGAGTGTAGTGAAGGATTTAATTTTGTGCTGTTTAAAAAACACATCTGGCTATTGAACTGTATACACAAATCTGTCACTAAACCTTCTCAAAAAGTGAGCACTTATGCTTTCAATAATGGCGGTAACAGTATCAGAAAAAAAGGAAACAAAAAACTTTCTGAAGCAGACAGCCTCCATGTGTAGTTCATGTGCGTGAAATCAGAAAAAAACGTATTTCATGTCTTTTTTGTCCTTGTTTTAGAATTATATCAATCTCAGATTACAATCTCTAGCTCTATTCAGACATCATCAAAAAGGATCTGAATGCTATCAGACGGCACTGCCCCACAAATATGTTCTGAGTGGAACTGAATGAACTGATTATGTAGACCATGTGGTTATTCCCTTTATGAATAACCGAACAACCTCCATAAGGCTCAGTTTAATTACTCTGTTACCAGAACATTATTATTTAATGTTTGCTACTATGCAGAGAATATTTGTGTGTCTTGAAGCAGTTTTAAATGTGCCTAAGTAGTAAGTGTATGCTACTGTTATGGAGAAAAAATAATTTGGTATGCATAAGACACCACAGATTTACAATTATTTCAGAATTACATTGAATCAAATGGCTTCTGTGTCTCATGATGCATTGTAACTGTGTAAAAGAGGACATACTCCTAAACTTCTCAAATAATGTATTTCACTTCACCCTGCATACCTGAAAGCAAAACAAAGAGGAATATCCTTCTCTCACAGTCTGCTTCAGGTGTGTGAAAGACAGGGGAGTCAGTAGAGATTATATAACACAGGAGAAAAAAAGCGGGGTGTATAGAGGAGGTGGGAGCAGGGGAGAGGCAGAGTGGGCACGCAGGTGGTGCGAAGTCGAGAGAGTTGAAGACAGGTGTGAAGTTGAAACCTGCAAATGAAGAGAGAGGAATAGAAAGAAACGAGTCTGTCGTTGAGAAAAGGGGAAAGTGTGAACCTAGTTTCGGGATAATTTTGGTTTCGGATGTATTTCTGCAATAGGAGTTAAGAAACACTTCTTTGAGAATGCAGACGGAGAGATCAGTGTGATAATGGCCATTAGAGGTGAAATAAGAAACTATGCTTGGAGAAATGGAGAAAGGAGGAAAGGGAAAGGCTTGGAGAAATATTTTATCCTAACAGCCCAAAGATGTTCTCTGAAGCAGTCTCCGAGTCTCCTTCTTGGTTTCCCCAATGTAGATAGCTGGGCATTTTCTGCAAGAGATGCAGTAAATAAGGTTGCTGGAGGTACAAGATGTCATCTGAGGGATCCAGAATTGTCCGGGGGACCTTGAACGAACATGGTGTTAGATATGTATTTGCAGGAGAAGGTGCCTGGTGTGGATGATTTCTGAGGATGGTCAAGGTGGTTGGCGATAAGAGATAATGAAAAGAGGGTTTCCATTTTACAGAATGATCCCTCTATCGGTACCCTCTTTTCTGATCTCATATCATCAACCACCTAATCTGCATAACCTTCTTGTTCACAGCTCCCTTGACCACCCTCACCAATCATCCACACCAGGCACCTTCCCCTGCTACAGAACTTACTGCATCACCTGCAAATACATATCTAACACCATGCTCATTCAAGGCCCCCTAGGACAATTTCAGATCACTCAGATGACATCTTGTACCTCCAGCTACCTTATTTACTGCATCTCTTGCAGAAACGCCAAACTATGTACATTGGAAATTGGAAAGAGAGTTGGAAATCGCTTCAGAGATCATGTTAGGGCTGTTAGGATAAAAGATTTCTCCAAGCCCAAAGTTTCTCATTTCACCTCTAACAGCCATGATCACACCGATCTCTCCGTCTGCATTCTCAAAGAAGGCCTTCTTAACTCCTGTTGCAGAAAGACATCTGAAACCAAAATGATCTTGGAACTAAGTTCACACCTTCCTCTTCAACAGACTCATTTCCTTCTAATCCTCTCTATTCATTTGCACGTTTTGACTTCACACCTCTCCAACTCTTTTGACTTTGCACCACCTGAGTGCCCACATTGCCTCCACCCTGTTCCCACCTCCTCTACACTTCCGGCTTTTGTTCTCCTGTGTTATATAATCTTTGCTGACTCCCTTGTCTTTCTCACAACCGAAGAAGGCTCTTTTCAGCATGGAATAAACCTTTACTTGTTCCTTTGCAGCCTACAGATGCTGACAAAGCTACCTACTTGAACTACTTCACTCACAGTCTTCTAACATACCAAATACACAGCTTAAACACATCATTGACCACTGTGTGTCATTCTAGCTGAAACTTGAAAGCCATAGATAATGTATTTACTATCTACTTAGGTGATACCTAAGTATTACTACTACAATGAATACTACTAATTATCATTATCATCATCAAATGCTGCTGCAATTATACACTTTTAATCTCTACCTTAAAAGGTGCACTTAAATAACAGTACAGTAGCTATAATTTTTCACCTTGCGTTCTATTGACCGAGTTCTGTGAATTAAGAGTAGCACAAGGCACTAAGAAGTGCTCCAATGATACCGCTGAGTTCAGGGAGTAAGGAGAGCTCTATGGATTGAGATCTATGGTTTAAGAGGAACTTCATGGGCTATGTTCTCTAGAAGTGAGAATATGATACTGGGCCAGGTGATTGAAGATGCTCCTCCCAAACATCCTATACTCACCCTTGTTCAGCTTATTCTGCTCCATGATGTTGTACTGAAGCTGAGCTGCCTCCTGCTTCTGTTGGATAGAAGGTTTCCAGTGCTTCTCGTTCACATCCACAGTACCACTGTTGATGTTGTTTCCAATGTTGGACTGGATGAGCTGGGTTGTGGCATAGGGTGTGGGCTGCCCTGTGGGGTTGACAAAGCGGCCATCCTTCAGGTTGGGGCTGTTGAAGGTCTTCATTTCGTTGATCTTGTTGCTCAGGTCCACATCACCGTAGACGCCTGACTCTGGCACCATCAGATTGGTCTGTTTATTTTCCAGCTGATTGTTGTAATTGGCAATGCAGTCAGCTGAGCCATGTAAAACAATAAACAATTCAAAGGCTGCTTTTTGCACATTTATTTTAAATCTGCAGATGCTTTACTGAGGTTGTAATGGATTTATTTTTCATTATAGGATATATAAGTGCTGTTCACTGGTATTGACACTGGATTGTTTTCCTACCAATTTGCATTCATGAGAATATATTAATCAAACAGACATTTAGGAAAACTTTATTTTTCTGTTAAGAGATATTTTGTAAAGTACCTATTTGAAATACAACATAATACAGTATTTCCTGACATAGTTCTAAGATTTTACTAAATTTATATTTAATCCCTCTAAGATTTCTCTGTTTCTTTGAGTCAACACTAAGAATGGCTGTTGATGTTCTTCAGGAACAGATTTTAAAAGCAAACAAAAGGCTTTTCATATTCAGTGGAGTTTTTTAAATGGAGAGCCCATTTTTCTTGTGTAATAGTATTTTTTATATTCACAAACTTGGGTGTGTGCTTGTTGCAGACAAGGTAGGCAGCTTTCACATTCTTTGTTTCTTTCATCATCATGCTGTTAATGCAAATAGAGTAAGCCTTTTACTTAAAGTATATTCAGGCTGTGAGTACCTTTGTTACTGTATGATAAATGAACAAAGAAAGAAAACAGCACTTGAAAGCCAGTTATTTAAATACAGTGAACTAAGAATGTGCTCTAAATGCTTTCACATTGTAAAAATGCCCTTTCATATAACAATGCTCAACAAATATGCCCGAAGAGTTAAAAAATATTGCTATGACAGAGACAAAGATGAAAGTAATTATAACACTTACAGTACATATAGGAGAGAGTGAAATTATCTTGTCACAACTTGTATTTTTAATGAATCAAACAAATATTCTACAAATACTGAGTCACTTTCTGAAAATAAAATATTGTTTTTTTACAAATATAAAAAACAAACCAATTGTGCTTCAGCAATATGTGTACCTCAAAGCCTGCTATAACTTCAGTTTAGATTACAAGAGAATCTAAAGGTATTTTAGGAAACCTGAGCTTAAGCAGAGGTGTCATCAAGAATGCATTCTTTCTATACAACACCAAAACTTCAGACTGGGGTGCCATAGGAAAAAGCAGATATCTTCCTTTAAAGACTGCCCATTTCAGTTTCCACTAAATGGTGTGTTTGTCACCAATTAAATGAAACCAAAACATTTTCTCTCATTTTTCTCTCATTGTCTCATCCAAACTACCAACATCCAGTATATATGAATTAATCTATCATAGGCCCCAGGCACAACAGCAAAACATGACATATGACCTGATTCTGTCTGGAAATGATTTATTTTAAGAAAGAACATTGTTGCATTATTGAAGATATTGTTTTTAATATTTTTTTGGGGAAAGAACTGTATGTTAGCATCACATACACAGTTGTGGCACATGGCTTATATCCAGATATGCCAATAAATTCAGAGTCCTCTTTCAGTTCCAGCTCAGCTGAAAAGCAGATGGAACTTGAAAGATGTTACTTAGTTGAGGAATGTTAGCTTAAAATAAAGGAGTAAAATCTTTATTGTGGTATATTTATGTGATTCATCTGCAGCTACTGAGAACCACCTCCTCGCCAGTTCTGTAATTTCAAAAATCTATGTGTGGCTTTATTTGTGATAATGAATTTGGTTTCCAAGCTGGTAGAACCAGAACTTACTGTTGAAAGTTCCTAGTTTTATCTGAGGTTGGTCTTTTTCTGGTTTCCCTTTTCTCTAGTCTAACAAACTGACCTCAGGGCATCCTTACTTGAGGAGGAGAGCCAGTATGGGTCCACAAAAGCCAATGTATAAGCCCTCAGAAGCTGCAAACACACGACTAGTTGAACTACAGCTTGCCCTAAAAGTAGGTTACAGGATACATACGCTTGTCTTAATTTTAAGTCCATGACTGTAACCCATGTTATAGCTCTCATATACTGAACCAACTGAAATAAGAGAACCGGAGCCAATTATCTCATCCTCTGCTGTATCAAAACCAAAACATTCACTCCAGAAACTAACCCACATTTAACACATGGGATGGACATTACACTCTCATCCCTCCATGCAGCTGAAAAGGGTGGGGGAGGGAGGAGATAATATCAGCTTTGCACTTCAAGCCTCACTGTTTCCTCAGACTTGTATTTCCACATTATCTGTGGATTGTTTAAAGTTCCAACCATTTTCATTTTTGGGAACATTCCAAGCTCTGCAGGAGACCACAGGGCTTAAGTGAGATGTCAATATGCCCCAGTCTTCGAAAGGATACAGGATTGTTATTAATAACGGTGTTCTTTGCAGGAGCACTTAACTGCTTGTGTGAATTTCACCTCCTCACTTCCAGTTCCCTTTGTCCGCCCTATTACTGCTAACTGCATTAAAAGGCCACATGTATCTGTCCTTCCTCCTTCAGAGGCCAGTAGGTACTGCCCGCCACACTATCGAGTTTGACCTCCAATGCTAGGCCACATTTCTTTAATAATGAGCACTTAAGGAATATTACATCAAGGACTACAAACAGTAAGGAAATCAGCTAAGCAATTTGATTAGCAGGAAAGTAAAACCAATAAGTTATTCAAGCTTTTTTAAAAGCCCTGGGTTTCACCTCCAACAAATCACAAGACTGTGCTCCCCATCTCTGCTAGGTTTCAATGAGCCTAGTGAAAGGAAGGATCTGCATAGTCCGTGTTCCTTGGAAAATACACTTGGGTCTTTTGAAATTTTGAATATATGATTTTATTGCCAATGGCAAACATTATAAAACAATGTACTGTTTTAGAAAAACAAATTACTTAAGTAATTATCAATTTGAAGGAGACATTTCCCATGAGTCCCTCTAGTGAATATTTTCAACTTTTAGTACCTTCCATGGCATTTTACAAGAAACATGAGAAAAAGAAAGGGTCTAAAGTCTGTGTAATTCTACAGCTCCCTCTATTATCAGATTTGTGCTCATTTAATAAGAATTGCCTGTTTTTTATTTATTTTGCATATTGGACATGTTGGACTTTGATTGGACTGGCTCTAATTCAGCCACCTCCTCTACACAGGGACCTACAGTTTTTTTTTTAATTAAGAAACATTCAATACATTGTCTGAGTGCTGGGGTCCTGCCTGGGGTCACTGCTGTCATTCCTGTAGCTTGAATGGACATGCCCCTGACTTGAATTCCATTTGTCAGGAGGCACTGTAGCCCCAATGTGTTGTGCACATATATATGTATTGAGCCTTACCTGGTCGGCTGTAGGTGGTGAGGTTGCTGTCACTATTCCCATTTCCAGCGGTACAGCAGCTAATACTGCAGTCATTGTGGTTTGAGCAAGTATTAGGCCAAGTGTCTGCTAGCCATGGCTGAGCTGCTGGCTCTCCTATATTCAGCAAGCCAGGTCTAGTATAAAGAGAACACTCAGCATGAACACAGTCTTGAATACTTTTTTGAAAAATGCCACAATGTTAATGGAGAATATGTGCTATAACAGAAATTCTTGAGTACTAAGACAGTAACAACAGAGTCAACATCATCAAATATCAGAAACATCTCAGCACCTACAAATTCCATAAAATTATGTAAACTGTAATTGCAGCAATAAAACACACATACAACGCACGCTGTAGCCCTTTTATTTATGTCAATGAGGTAATCTGTACGATTAGTCTGATTTATTAAACATGCCAGGTTCCCTTAAAACTCTCCAGTAGAGCTCAGTTTTCTGTTTGTACTTCATTGCTCTCTGTATGTACATAATTCATTTTTCAATGCATGGACCTAGATAGCAACTTGGCTAAACAGATTTTATGTGATATTATTACATATTAGTAACAATATTTTACAGTATGTTACAGGATTGAAAATTCTATAAGGTATATGTTATAAGTTGCTGCTCATTTTTAAAATATTAGAAAATGGAAGCAAGTTACTGTATGTCACATTAGTGATCTCAAAACTCAGGTTCAATTGAACGACAGGTAACAAAGGTAACACTCAGGTAACAAAGAACGACACACTTATGTGGTGGAAGGTGGTATTGAAAAAGATCTCAGAGAAACTGCAGGCAGGTTAAGTAAATGAAAAAATGGATTATCTTAACTAATGACTTAACTAATGGTTCCATAGTAATTAATTTTTAAGGTATAACCAGTGGTGAAATATTTTAAGAACACATATGCTTCTTAAACTTGTAACTCTGCATACAACTAAGAATGTATATTGTGCCCCCATATCAGTACTGGACAATGCCTTTGTCACTGATTTTTTTCTTATGTTTATATTTGATAATGAAAAGGTCTGAGAACTGATAAGTAAATATGTAAAAGAGTCATTTACTAGACCTCCTCAGATATTAAACTTTAAAACCTCATTCAGAATAGAATCCTCTCAGTTAAAGCCTTCATATTTTGCTGGCTGTAATAATTCTGCTTCCCTCAGCACTTATGACACAAATTTTGCTGATGAACATGTATTTTCATTTACCACATCCAGTAAGCAGCTGTATATCTTTGTCTTCATAAATGCCAAAATGAGATCACTTTAAATTGAACAGGCATCAGCTAATCTGGGGGACATTTCTTTTTAATCTTTTGTTTTTCAAAGTCAAAGCACTCCCTCTGGTGTCTGTAAGTGAAGTGCGCATAAGCCCTCAACCATTTTTTCACTGCATTGCCTCTAATGCACTTTCATCTACTCTTGTTAATGTTTACTGTGGTTTTGGAATCTCCTTTTTTAAATTCACCAAATGCTTCTGAAACAGAACACAGGGATGATCACAGATTCTTTGTAAATACACAAATATGCAGAAAATGCATTAATTAATTGTTTATTGTGTTATATCCCAATGTTTAAATGATTTCTCATTGAAAAAAAAATAAGAAATGTTTTTTTGATAGTGTTCAAAAGCACAACTTTCCGATAAACTACTTTTGTGGTTAATTTGGAATTAGAAAAATTACAAATAATGCAACCATTAATTTCCTCAAAGTTCAGCACAGAATCACCGAGTTTGACAAAAATCTTTCCAAAAGGCACCTAATCCTCCAATCTTTAGCAAATATACCTGGAAAGAATTAAAGACCGGATAAACAAGCCCTTCTAAAACAAGGATGCTCTTTGCAAATAGCACTGAAGAATCAAACTTAAAAATCTACCCATTGTTAAAGAAAAACAGACAATCATGCTGTTTTGCTGATGAAGAGCACCGAAGTGCTGTGATATCTGGGAAACAGCAATACTTGTGCACAAATACTATGCAGTGAGTCTAGAAATGCTTTACCACAGTAGTGATTTCAGCCCAAAATCTGCTTTCTGTGATGAGGAAAAATTGATTACCATCTTCCAATAAAACTAAAAGATGCTACACTTCTACTGCCTTTTTGTGTAAACCTCCACTAAGATAATAAGTCACACAAAATATCATTTTTAAAGTATTAAAGGTATCCTTACCTCCCTCCACTGCTCACAGCCTCTCCTCCTCTCTGATAGGTCACTAAAAGGTATTTCATAAAAGGAGAAGGGTGAAATATCAGCTTTTTAGCTGTCAACGCAAGAACACACATTGAATGCCACAGGAACAGACATTCAAGCTTTAAGCTTTGTGCTTTGTTTACAGTATAGTTAAATATACACATATCGTAACTCATTATTGCACATCACACATTGTCTCATCACACAGACCTGGGCAAACTAATCATCACATGCAAATACATACTGTGCACATACCGTAGACCATATGAGTGCATAGACATGCATTATATGGTCTCATGTTCAAACAGCACAATTAAATTTGACAGACTAGTGAAACTCCTAAGAAGCTTAGCTGTGTGGCAATTTCTGATGGATTCTAGAACTGGCATTTTTGAAGATGGGGGAATGTGGAAATTGTAGCTGATCTGCTCTCTTTCAAGGTGCTTTAAGCTGGCAGAGTGTGCAGGAGAGATAACTGCCTTTTTAATTATAATTTTTTCGAGGATTAAAATGTACTATTTTTATGTTTTTCCATCCCAGTTTGATTTTGGTCTCTTTCTAGTCTTCAAAATTTTCTGATAAAAAAATCGCAAGCATCCAATCATTGGCCCATATTAGCATTGTCTTAAGAAGATGTTATTCTCCACTTGATAACAGTCTGTAACCAAAAATAACCAAAATATAACAGTGATCCAAAAACAAAAACAACATTAAAAATGCCTTTTCTGAAACCAGGTTTCCCCAAGACATAAAAAATTGAATGGGGTAATGACACAGAAGATTGAGCATAAGTGTGGAAATTGACCCTAAATGAGATTGTTGATTTTATCTAATTACATATACCCATAAAAAAAGGTATTCTCAATAATGAAATCAAAGACCTCAAAGGGGCCATCTTCTTGATAAAACAAAATATTGATGTGTTACTGCTTTATAAAAGTTTTCTGACAAAAAAAGAAAAAAATAACAAACATTCCTCCACATATAGCTACCAAATAAACAAAATGATTTTCAAAAGCAGTTTCTAAAAGTATGATTAAATTTGTACTCATGTGGTATCAGCACTAACAAGCTCAGTTTATTTAGCGAGTTCTAACAAGACAATCCTAAAATCAAGTATAAAAAGCTGCAGATTTGTAGGGCTTTTAAATATTCACTGCACTCACTTTGTTGGTGCACTAAGAGTTTCCAATTTATACTGTGTATTAAACCACCTTCAAGTAAGAGGTTTAGTTGGTACTGTATATCTGACTTTCACGTTTCATACTTAGAAACTCATCTGAAATGCACTGGCCCTTTGATCAAGTCACCAAATTTTATCATCTTCTTATTAAGTCAATTTTCTCCTTTTTTAAGTCAAACTTACCCTAATGGTCTTGACTATCACTTTGAAATTTTCTGTTTATCCTTCTGAACCGAATTTTATTTTTGCTGAGTCATCCCATCTGTACCAGCATGCAGGAGTTGTATACATTTGCATACTTTCTCTGACATGCACTGAGTGGCCACTGACTTCTAAATGTACAGTACTGCAAGCACACAGTGCAACATTACAGCTAAACTATTACTTGGAGGACTGATGCAGCTTGCACTTTGAAATACCACAAGCTCTCAGGAGCCTAAGTGCATCAGATGGTGTCTACCTTGGGACACTGGCCCCTAAGATCTCCTGGTCATGGCTAAGTAACGATTTAGCCTTTATTTAACCCAGTGTTTTCTGGATTACAAGGCCAATGAGGACCTTTACTGGTTTAACCAGAGATACATCACTTATGAAGACTTCTTTCATAAAGGCAAACATGGAGAAAAACACAAGTGAAACCATAATATTTAGAGCAACTTGCAAAAAGCAACAAAACAGCATGCACGGACAAAGCTGAAAGATGCAAACATGCAAGATGAAAAAGATTGCAACAGTATTCACCCCCTATGAAAAGTGTTTACACATTTTGTTACCGACTCAGATTGCAATCTTACTTTCCAAGTAATCATACTTTCAATTATGATTTAGAATTGATACAATCTACTTCAAACTAGATGAGGGCAAAAGTATTGATATTGAGTTAGATTTTCAAAGAAAACTACAAGATTTTACAACTGCATAAGTATTCAGCCCCTTTTTATGAGAATCCAAAATAAGTCCAGGTGTAAAACATTAGTTTGAAAGGTCAAAATTTAACTGTGATTTGTCTGTCCTTGTGTAATGAAAGTGGTTTACCTTGACTACATAATAAGTGGATCTGTAAGTTTCAGCATAATGATCTTGATTTCCAAACCACAAGTCACACAGTCATACAAGAAAGCAATCATGAAGACATAAAGACAAGGGAACATTTAAAAAAAATCAGAGATAAAGTGGTAGAGAAGCACAGATCAGAAAAAAAGATTATGGAAAAATGTCTAATTTCTCATTTTTGCTGTTTGCTGTCATACCATCCTGACACTATCTACTGTAGGTCAAGCCACCCTTCCAAACTGAACATCCAGGTAAGCAGGAAAAGTGGTTAGGTACAGTATGTCAGTTTGAAGCCACCCATGACTTGAAAAGATTTGTAAAGTTCTATGTACAGTATTAGATGCAGATATGATTGTTAATACACTGTCAAAATGATAGTTCCTACACAAAGTCTATATGGGTGAATGGCAAGAAATATGTAATTTATGAAAAAGAGCTTGCACAAAAACATGTAAAATACAAATGGCAGTCAGAAGGTTTTGTGGCCTAAATGTAGAGCATTACATCTGGTGCAAGGTCAATAGCACATCATCCAGTTATAGGATGATGTTTTATATCAGCATATACTGGGAAGCTGGAAAGAACTGAAGGGAAAATGGATGATCTAAAATACAGGTGATTTATAAAGGAAATACAGCCACAAAACATAAAATATTTCAGCAGGACCAATTTCCCAACGTTCAAGTCTAAACCACACTGGAGCTGCTTTTTAAGAAGAAAGTGCATGCCCTTGATAGGCCCAAACTTCTGACTTGAATTAAAAAAAAAAATATGATGAGACTTGCAATTACCAATGATCCCCAACAAACATGTCAGAACTGGAGCATTTTTCAAGGAGGAAACAGACACAATTACACTATTCCATTATGCAAAACCTGTAGAGACCTATTCAAAAAAAACCCACAGCAATAATTACTGTAAAAGGTGCTTCCACAAAATAATGACTTAAGGGGCTGAATACTTATGCAATTATTACATTTATATTTGTATGTTTTTCTGACATGTCATCGGCTTTACATTAATGCATTCAGTACGATCTTTAAAGTTTTGAATTAAAAAATAACTTGAAATTTATTTCAAAAATGTGTACTGTATATATTATTTGTACTTCATCAAAATGTGGCACATTTGTAGGGGGTGAAAACCTTTGCAAAGCATTGGTTCTCACTTCTCCTTACTTGAGAAACAGGAACAAATGTTGACACATACTGTACTATAGAGATAAATGTAAATAAAAAAATATCTACCTGTTGGTGTGAAAGTAAATGATGGGACTGAAATATCAAAATAAGGAAAACAGAAAGAAATTAGTGCATCTTCAGCAGGACAACTGTATGTACAGTAATATAGGTACAGACAAAAAAATAATTGACTCTGTCTTTATAACTACTTTTGTATATACAGTATTTAACCAAACTCCACCAGTAAAGATCATGTTATAGATGAAAAGGGAAGGACATTAAGTTATTTTTCTGTATACTGTTGGGTCTGTTTTACAGGCTTCAAGATGTCCATCTTCTGTTTATCATAAACTGCCGTCTTTTGTATGGAGCTGGTGGACAGTTGTTGCGATATTACATCCCCCTCTGCAGCGGAGTACTTTGATCACCCCAGCTTAACAACAGCTCCTGCTGAGGAAGGTGAGACCAGGGCAGCTGTAGCTTCAACTTCACACCCTGGCTTTTGAGGCCTGCTGCTTCTGGGTCAGCAGCGCCACAATACAGTACACCAGCACATCATGAACATCTCAATTACTGCCTTCAAGGCACAAAAGTCTTCTTCCTAATTCTGCCTGCTGAAATCTGTGACAAAAGGAACCATGTTCCATCTTTTGTCCAGATGCATAAAGCACTTACATGTCAGCATTTTGAACATTCTGCTGACTTATTTCCAATCTAGTAATACAAGCAATAAACTTTTGGTTACTACAATGAAGAATTCAGCATATTAACCACTAGTTTGATTTATTTTAAAAAATGAGAGGGGATTACTAGATGCTTTATAGCAACACTAACATTTCAGACTATTTCTAAACATCTAAACATATTCAATTTTTTTTTTACAAAGTTCTTGAATTATTTTGCCAGGAAAGACACAGAAGTTTTTGACAGTATTTTTTCCAGCTGAGATCTAGCACTACCAAAGAAAAATTGCACTGGATTATAATAAAAGTAGCAATAGGGGAAACATTCAGAGCATGAATTACACATTTCTACCTCCTGAGGTTTGAGCACCAATGGGAGGGCAGGCTTTCTGACATGGTTGGGAAAGTGAAAAGCTAGAAATACATGATTTTAAAACTCTCCTTCAGTTTAGTCAGTTCTGGTCTAATATGAGTCCAATTATGGTCTGCCGTTCTTTTCATAAAGTATGATTTTCAGCTAGTTTGAACTAAGGGGGGGAGGGGTTTGGTTAAAAAAAGATATAATTAAAATCAGACATGTATTTTCTCTCTCAGCCTTTGTCATAAAGCTTTTTACCAGGTCCACTTTAATAAAGACAGGAAAAAATTAACTCCTATGATAATTCTATGATAATAGAATGATAATTATATTATAATACCCTCATACATTCTAGCATTTATCATACATTCTGTTATCATCCCCTATGATAATTCGGTACATTATGATATCACAAAGAGGAAGCACATTAATGTAGGTTAAAGTCAAACTATAGCATACAGTAAAGGTCAAGCATAATATGAAAAGTGAGACACCATTTAAATCCACAGCTGTAGCAGTTTATAGCCAAAAAAAAATTATCCAGGAACCATTGTTCTCTTTTAGTATTGGACAGGTCAATGTTTCAGTCTTACCACTCACTTTACCAGGTACAACATGTATATAACCTTTGTAGGATTTTCCAGATAAGAGAGGGAAAAATCAATTTAATCATTGTGTGTGTGTTCACCTCATGGGCTCTGCACATGCTAATACACCCATTCGCGCTTGAAGGCAAAATGTGGGCAAATGATAAATAGCACACAGCTAGAGAGGCAGTGATGTCTGCAACCACATCACGTCCCTCTCTGCTATTGCTGAATCCCACTCATTCCTGCTATAAAAGGGCTTAGAAATGTTTAACATTACATGTGCTCCCTTCCATGAAAACATTTTTGATCAAATTATCTTTTTTTCTTCTTCTGTGCATGTATTTCATTATTGAAGCTTTTTAAAAAAGTAACCTTGGCTTGCTAGTGAATATTCAATTCATACAATGTCCTTCAGGAACACTACAACAATCTCTTTCAGCTAAGATGGTATTGTGCTCATCTAGCTCTTTTCAGGTTACAACAACAATTTATCAGGATGATTAAAAAACAAAATACTGCCATTATTGTTATGCTCCCTGAAATCCAGGCAACCTTATATTTCTAACTATTCAGTTTGTGGCTAGAATATAGCAATGATTCAAAACCTTTGGAAAATACAAGGACATTCTGAAGAGGAAGTGAAAATAATAGCATGTCAATGTCTTTTGAAACTGGTTGGCAAACGATGCAGTGAAATGTGTGCAGGAATCAAAGAAATAATGCATACAAGGCAGTTTATCTAAAGCCTTAGCAATAGGCACCCCCATCTTCTCCCCCTCTCTACAGAAAGACTTTTGAAAGCTGCTATTATACAAATACTCTATATCAAATCTCAACCACAAGAAAGTAGGGTACTTCTGCAGCTGTAAAGCCTGAAGCAAGATATGAAAAAAAAAAACATAATTGTAGTTTTGATATTGTTACTCTTGTTGGCACATTTGGGTTCATAGGCCTGCAGTTCAACCTTCTCAGCTCTAAAGAAATCTCAGGTCCTTTTTTTTTTCAACCAGTTGGCCACACATACGTCTCATACTCACATTTTCCTTGCTCAATAAAAGCCCAATAAAAGAAGCAGAAAAAACAGAATTCCAGTACTGTCCTAAAAGAATGAATGAGCATTTTTGTCGAGATTTGTCGGGATTAAATGAAGGACACATTTGACTTTCCTTTGTGCTAGCAAATTAAGTTTATGCAGGGTTACAAGTGCACTTGTGGGACAGGCCCATACTGTTAGGCTTATTATTGAGGATTAAAACATAAAAGTACCAGTGAGATGGCTACCTTTGTACAAATTATTTCCTATTCTAGGGATCCCAAGTCAGATATGAAATTCCTGGCTGGAATCACAAGCAATTTTGTCATTTAGTGGAAGACCAGAGCACATTTGTAATACCACATCTTTTAAAAGCTCTTCCTTTTGTTTTTCAGAAAATTGCCTTTGCCTCTAGTTTGTTTGAAAGAAGTTTTAAAGGCTCAGGATGTTTATCAGTATAACAAGAAACATAAAAGTTGAAGTTTAACTTTAAAAAAGTATTTGCCTCAGTGGGAGATTTGTAAGAGGTCTGGAAGATCTCTCAGAAAAAACATTTTTTCTGTTTTCCACCACTGTGTAAACAAAGACCACAGTCCAGTTCTTAAAGGGTTACTGCTGTGAATCCTTGTAGCTTCAGCCTGCCATTAGTGAGTGAAGAGAATTCAGGTATTTATAGTAATTGAATAATACCCTTCCCTCCAAAAATGCCTAAGTACTAAAAAGACAGACCACAAATGGCAGACACAGATTCATGTAAACCCAGCTGGCACTGCTACTTTCTACTGTATTTGATCAACAACAATGAGCTGACGTGGCAGATCTCTGTCACAGATTGCATGCATAGATCCCTTCCTCTTCTCTCGCTAATGAGCCTGTCACTCAGCAGTTCATTTCGAAGCCACACTTGTGTTTTTTGTGACTTTCATATGCTGCTCCCAGCTGTTCAGCTGGTGGCACACTGGCAGAATGCATGCGGGTATCTTGAGATGAACCACAGCTTAATCAAAATCTTTGTCTCATTTTCCATGAATACAAGAACCTTCCCACACACTGTCAGCAGTTCTTCATTTTTCCCTGTCTTTTTTTTTCTTCCAACATCCTCTGCTAAATCCAGAGCAATGGAAATCTTTCAGCTATTTGAAAAAGGTTTCGAACAGAAAATGAATATGTGGTGTTAAAGCTTTTCCTTTCAAACTTTTATTTTCTTACTCAGGATACTTCATTACAAACTATGTTGTAATCTAAACAACCTGTAGTATGAAATCGTTACAAAAAATGTTAATGAATGAAAATGAGTAGAAGTAGTACTTTTTGTCTGAATTATTTAACAAAAAGTGTTTTTCTTTAAAGGACTTCTGTGCTCCTTGTTCTCTTTTCTGTAATGTAGGGACATTACATTACCTTGTGTTGTTAAATGATACTTCTTATTGACTTCCAACTAAAAAATGTATAACATTTGAACCAATTGGAACCAAACAGAATCTACATTTGATATTTTTACATTTCTCTATGTCTACAATTCTCTATGTCAAAACTGCTTCTGGAGTTGTTCCTCTCAAGTGAACTATGCTATATGATCCTTGTGCATTCTGTAGTATTTACCTTTCCTCATCCCTGCATAGCTACTGCTCAGTCCACTTCTTTTCTTCCTGTGTCTATATAGCCAGATGCTGAAGACCATCAGGATAATCCAGCAGGCAGCTCCGATTCCTGCGATGAATGCAGGTTGCTTCACAACGTCTGAAATCTGCTGAGAGAGTGTGCTCACTGTCTCCTCATTACCAGTGATCCTGCCATAGGAATCTAGGGAGGAGGCAGAAAAAGATTAGATAAAACTTCAAATAAAAGAGAAATAATCCCAAAGACTTGTTTTTTATATGTTTCGTCAAAGAAAAAAATCTAAGGCAAAAGGCCTAGAGAGCAACAGATGAGATGTTGAACATGACAATTCACTATGTTTTGTCTCTAACATATGAAACCCTCATTCATCTGACAACTAGGTCTCAAGTGTGCTGCATATAAAGCAATCAAAGAATGTAAAGACAGAAAAGCTTATTTTTAATCTCCATCTTCAGAAAATCTACTTAATGTTTTCAGGATCCTTAGGTTTTGTTACTTTGTGAGTACAAAAGCAGGGATTAACATTCAACCTAAAGGTTTAATTCAATCTCATAGTACTTCTTATTTTTGCAACAATACCTCATGTACAAGATGTGGTCTGGCAGTTTAAAATGTTCTAAGAAAGGAGTTTTAAAGCTTAGTAAAAGAAATTTAACTGGGGGTAAATTTCACACAGCTATATTAACATTTAAGGAACAAGTAATACGTTTATTCCATGCTGAAAAGAGAAGAAAGAAAACACAACATTTCAGCCGTGGAGCCTTTATAGCCTTACAAACCTAGTACCTCTTATGATAAAATGGATATCACAAGCCACTTTCAAACACTAATGCTCTTGATGAATCTTAAAAGTATAGAAAATGGTGCTTCAGAATGCACAAATAGCACCAGTATAACACCATCATAACCCTTTCACACACCAAATGTGACAATGAGAGACTGATTTTCAGGACTGTTAGTGAGCAGATGGCTCTGCTGGCAACAGCAACCGCATTTACAAAATCACGTCCAAGAAATAAATAAAACCAATTTCATCCCAAAAAGTGGGTGTGGCTGACTTTATTTTTCTTTTAATCTTCAGTGATTTATTACAGAAGGATCCATGTAGTTGTCAATAATGGTTGTACTTGGTCCTACAGCCTTCGTGGTGTTGTTGTTCCAGAGCTAAAACCAATCCGGGTCCAAATCCAAAGGAGTACTTCGGTGTGTATCTGAATCTCCTGAGCTGACTTTTGACTGAAATGACAGCACCGGCTTTAAAGATATGCTTCTATTCATTTTGAAACCTCTTCATCCAATTCAGGATTGAAGGGTAGCCAGAGCCTGTCCTGGCAAGCAATGTGCATAAGGCCAGAAACACTCCGGACAGAACAACAATTTATCACAGGGCACACATACAGACACACATATAGTCACACCAGGACCAGTTTTCCCAGAAACCAGTTAACCTACCAGTATCTCTTTGGACTGTGGGAGGGAGCTGGAGCACCTAGAGGAAACCCTCTGGTAAACATAGTGAGAACATACAAACTCCACACAGATAGTGCTGTGAGGAAAGGGCTAGGCATGTTTTACATTATCTAGCTTACTTTGAAATTTAAGAAAATTGGGACGTTTGTAGGTTGACCACTCCAAGCATCCGAATATATATGCATATATTAACATAAGCAACAAACACCCTCAAAATAAATACTGGTTGCAATAATGCAATAAGCAATAATGAGCTCAATTGCAGTGTAAAAGATTTAATAAAAATAACAAAAACAGATGTAGCTTGATTCATGTTTTTGAGAAAGACTTGTGGCACTCTAAAATTAGATAAGTAATCCAAAGCAAACTCACAGTGGCTTAGAGTGATAGCAGAGTAGTTTGAATTTGCACTGGAATTCAGTAAAGGATGTTCAAACTATATGATATTTAATGCAAAACAATCTTACAGAAGTTTATTACAGAGAACATGAACAAATATCTAATCATGAGTTGGCTATGTTATCTAATTATAAAGAGCCATGATGTTGCTCACAAGGTTTCCTCACAAACACATTAAGAATATTATATTTCTCCTGGCTGTTTCAGATCATCGGAGGAAAGCTCTTGTTCTTCCCAGATCGGTGTCTGGTTGGTACAGAAAGCCAGTGTTTCTTGATGTGTTTTTTTTTCCTTTACTCTTACATAAAAGCACCTCATATCTCCCCAAAGAAAATTCTTCTTGTTAACTTGCAAAGTTTTTTTTTTTTCTGGGTTCTTTTTTCATCTTGAGGTCCTTTTATCTTTCCAGAGACTAACAGTTCTCTAGAGGCTCAAAGGTTTGCCAGTGCAGCATTTCTTCATCCCCTCCCCCAACCCTGGCCATATTGTAGCCTTTTTTTACACTTCAGGTTTATTGATTTCATGGTTATTTGGGGAAGGTTAAGCTGGGATGTGCAGGAGCTTGTGGTGAAGTGCTGTTATGTGACTAACCAGCTGGGGAAGAAAAGCAGGCCTCATCTGAGTAAACTGTACTGTGACCAATGCATTAGAATCACCTTCTCTGTGTTTCACTACAGTTTTTCGCTTGGATATCAAAAAGCAACAAATGCCTATGTTTTCTTCCTCCAGTGAAATGGCTTTGCTTTGCTCATGCATTCACCCCTTTCATCACATTAAAGACTCAGTCTGCATTTTTCATTCCCTTGCTAAGGTTTAAAAACAGCTTAGGCTGAAAAAAAGTGTAAAATGACAGCACTCCTGCTGGGGACTTAAAATGCCCCATAATGGATCCAATCTTCAGCAAGTGTAATAAGTGTAAAATATAAATGCATAAATGGAATGCTGTACCACATCTTCTATTGGATGGGGTTTTTCCTCTTATTTTGATCTATGTTTTCATGCTTGAGAAAGGTGATGGATAAGAACACAAGTGTGAATAGCCTTATGCAATCAAAAGTTTTAAAACTGTTTTATCCTGTACAGGGTCATGTGGGTGCCGGAGCCAAATCCAGCAGGCAATAGAAGCAAGCCAGGATACATCCTGGAGAGGACGGCAGTCCATCACAGAGCACAGACAGACACAAACACACACTAAGCACACAGTCTCACCAGGTCCATTTTTCCCAGAAGACAGTTAACCTACTGGAACGTTTTTGAACTGTGGGAAGAAAGCTATGTGAACAAGGAGAGAACAAGTAAACTACATAAAGATAGCACCACAGCAATTAAACTCAAGGGTACCTCCATAAAGTTGCCCCCACACACTCACATGTAGCTTCCCCTGCACTACAAATAGCACAAACAATATCACCCATTGCATTTCATTCATGAGATAGTTTCTTATTTTTTGGGGTGTGGCGTCACTTCGTGACATTGCTATATTATTATATTATGAATATTATTATGACACCACTATTTCATCTTTAAATTGAATATATAGATGGCCCCACAATTGTATTTTTAAATCTAAAGTAATGAAGGAACTTGATTTTTCAGAAAAGACTTGATTGTTACACAAGAGAGTGAAACTTGACATAATCTGTTACAGTTATGAATTTTAATTAAAATAATTTCTTCTGTGTCCTAATAAGGAGAAAAAAAAAGTTACAGGACTCTTGGCTCTTAAGAGACTGTCGATGTAAACTGAATATTTAACCTATTGTGATATATAAAATTAATAAAAACATCAATATATTATAAATCTTAATTCGATTTTATTGTTAAAGAACACGTTTATGTATTTAAGATTTCAATAATAAAATATATTCAGCATTTCAAACTGAAAATAACATTTTGTAACTTAAATTTAATGTCTATAGCTGACCTATTGGTCATGTGATTTGCAATTAGTTTCCTTTTCTATTACACTTCAAAGTGGCATTCCAAAGAAAATAAAAATGGTTGCAAACTGCTCCAAAGTTAACTTGTGTTTCATCAAACAAGAAGGAGAGTAAAAATAAAAGTGCAGCCCACACCACCCCCCACCACTGCAAGGAGACAATGCTCCAACAAAGCATGGAACACTCCCTCCAGTGATACAGTCCATCAGAAATTAAGGTGAAACAGGCACTACACCAGAAAGCACCTTAACAGCTTTGATGAACCCAATAGATTATAAAAACCACATTTATATCAACCACTAATATGAAAAAAGGGCAGCAAAACATATAAAAAAATAAAATTTAGATTTTAAATTTTAGAAATTAAAAATACAAAATTATACATAGTGGCTTTAAAATTAGCATTTAAAAGTAAATATTGTATACATTTAAAAAAAGTTATCTGCTCAAGAGCATCTTTAAATTACCTTCCTAATTTCGAGCATCCTGGTGATTGGTGGTCTGGAGGTTCATCCATTTTATTGCTTTATTATTAATATTATTTTAATATTTAACATACTGTGATTTATAAAATGAACAGAAATGTGAAAATACATCTTATTTTATTATCAATCTTTTTATGCCCAAGGAACAACTGTTTAAAGTACAGCTGGCAAGGATTGAACCCAGGCCCTTTCACATGAAAGATGAGAATTCATCCACTGAGCCACCAATACGTCACCGTGATCTTTGATTACAAATTGGTTTTTCCCAATGTAACCAATGAATTTCCCCAAATTAACCAATGACATTAATTTTGTATTAATATTATTTCATTATTTAACATACTGTGATATATAAAAATAACAAAAGTGTCAATATATTATACATATTATTTATTTTGTTTTTAGAAAAAGAGCATTTGTTAAAAACAAAAGTGGTGCCCTGACAAGGAATTGAAACTGTGACCTTCCAGGTGGTAGGCAAACACTTTACCTACTGTTGTATTTTCTTCTACAGTAGTGTTAGCAAAATGTAGTTAAACTAACATGTCAAAACTTTCCCAAAATAACCACAAGTAAATGAGTTAAAAAAACAATGCAGATGTTTACATGCCTGGTCAATACTGAGCCCCTTGGGAATATATTTTCTCCCATATTACAGATTAAATAAAGCTAATGTTTTTAGTAACATCTAATGCGCATCAGGTGCCACCTATTGATCATCTTTAAATCACACTGCAATGTGCTGCAACATGTCTAACACAGCAATGGGTTCTAACGCGTGCTCTGAATGGCTGCATCTGTACCTTATGCATCCAGTGCCAGTGATTAAAATGGGGAGCAATCCTGATTCTAATGATTCAAGATAATGTAAATATTAATATAAGCCATTTCTCATCTTATTTCTGATTTCCAGTTACACTTTAGTGTTTGTTCAAAGTTCTTAATCAAGCTTACTCTCTAGAAGAATCCATGAAAAATTCTGAAAGTAGAATGGCATAGTGGGATGCCAGCAATACGATGTACTTTAGAGAGGATCTGATTAATCCTATCACCTGTTACCCAGCAAGACCCTTCTTCTGTCTTAATGAACATCACTAGCAGTGATTCTGGTTATCTCATTTATCTGAAGAACTAATAATCCAAAACCACATATAAGATTCCCTTATTCAAGAACCTAAATCAGTTTTGCTCCTCTGAACGTTATGGGATATTACCTCAGCTATAACACAATGCTAACCTTGTTTATTGGAGCTCTTACCTGTCAACCACATTGCATATTCTATATGCCAAAGAAAGCTCTTAATAATTTATTAAAGTTTTGGTTATATATATATAATTCATATTATAAAGCTCATGCAAAACACATACGTTGAATCTATTGGATTACCTGATTCTGCTTTCTATAACTTTCTTCCCTGTGTTGTTCTCATTGGGTTCTTTTGCAAAAAGATTTGCCGAATGCTCTGAAACACTGCTCTTTATGAAAGGCAACGTCATAAAATAAGAAATGACTGACATACAGATTTACTAACAGAGAGTGCTAAAGCAAGGGAATCTGAAACAGGGAGTCCAAATCAAGAAGCCAAGTCCTGAGAGGATACACATTATGGGATCAAGCCTCGTACAGGATGTTAGCTGCCTACCACATTGCAGTTTCTCCTTGTTCTTGTTTCTCCAAAGAAAAACTCATTTTCACCTTTTCAACCTCTTCTGAAATTCAGAGTGAGGGTATTACCAATGACAATTGCAAAGGATAAGAAAAAACAGGGATAATCATACACTGCCTGTTTAAATGAGCTTTATAAAAGTTAAATGCATACAGTACTGTTCAACTCCCTCTTCATCGCAAAGCCCACTGTATGCCATAAACAATTTATGTATTTTCTGTTTCGTATATACTGCATGTTTTGTTCTAGTTACTGTAAATAGTAATGATATAATTTTTTAGCTTGTTTTATGTTTTGCACACTGTTATATTATTGTATTAACTGTTTCCTTTCATTTATGCCACTCTGCAGTAAGTGTTTTGCATTAACTTTATAAAAGGACATAACATTGTTAAGACATAAACGTCTACGTTTAAGACACTGTTTGTGAGGCAGCTTTAAGTTCATGCTCTGTGACCTTTGAAACCCTATATTGTTGAAGCTCTATCCAATTTTGCTTCAATGGCTGTAAGATGGACGTGGAGAATAGGTCAGTTGTGTAGGCCAGTCTGGAAGCATGACTTACCGAGCTGGATGAATCTTGACTCACTCTTCACACCGGCTCCTGCGCCAGTGCTGGCCGCCACCTCCACAGTGTAGCGGACACCTGGGGACAGGCTGGGGATGACCACTGAGAATGTAGATCCATCCACTGTCCGGTTAATGTGGTACCTGCTTTCATTTCCCAGGCACCATATCTGCACAGAAAATACAAACTGCATGAACACATCTGAGGATAAAAATCCTCACACATAACAGATTCAACAACCAGAAAGATCCATATAGTTTACTTCTAAGTCAATCACCACTATCTCCCTACACTTTAAAACCTGTTACAAAATCTTGATTGAGAGTGGACTGGCCAGTAAATGCCTTTGCAGGTTATTTTTAAATTTCTTTTCTCTGCCTTTTGACTACTAATTGTTTCACCTTAAGGTGTGTCTTTGCAGCTGTAATGTGTTTGATCACGTGTCATGTTTTATTTATCCCCTACAGAAAAGCCACAGAACATTACAAAAAAGAGGGCACTGTCGTTACAGAAATGCCTTCTGCTCAAGCTGTGCATGCTCCACAGCATTACAATATTTTCTCCATCTAATAGAAACAATGAAAGTAAAACAGAAAAGCTCAAGTAAAAAAAAATCCATCTTTCCATCAAATTAATACTTAAGAACTGAATCATTTGGTGTCCAACTGAAAATTATGAAAGTTGTTGTCACCTAAATCACTGTGGGATACATGCTTCACAAATCAATCTTTAAAATTTTATGAATCAAAATGAATGGTTTTTCTTTTTATAAATGGAGGCAATCTGATCCACAAATATACCTAGAAAATTCTTTCATTTTGTATTTAATACCAAAAAAACAATTACAGATGGAAAAGGTTAACTATATTGAAATCAAATGAGTTATTTTTCTTTTTTTCAATTTGGCATTAGAGGTATTTTTCTCAGTCCTGTCCACAGACATCCTTACATCCTGATTTGGCATTGTGCAAGGATGCTTGTCTGGATTGAAACACAAATTTGGTTGACATTTGCTTTGCCTTCCACATCCCAAATCATAAAAAAAGTTTGTCATATTAACAGGTCAGCATCACTTCTATTCTCTATAAGCTGTAACATGAAAGAGGAGAAGACTACATATCTAATAAGCAAAGCTTTACTATGTACTCCATTTAACAGCCATGAAATTACACTGAATTCCATCTTGAGAAAACACTTTTCGAGAAAATTAACAGGATCCCAATTTGTAAACTGACTGCATAACCCTTGCCACCCACAACAATTGACATTCAACAGCACCATTACCAATCAAAATAAAAATTGTAATTTAGAACATAACGTTAGGAAAAGACATACTGTATAGGTGAGAATGAAAGTATGGAAGAACATCAAGTTGGATATACCTAGGTTACACTTTAGAAAAAGAAGTAAGAAAACTTAACTTAAATGGACAAAAACATGCCACTGATTCAACTGTTTATTTGTTTTAATGTAATTTTTTAAATCTTGAGTCAGGCATGAACTTATATAATGAACTGTTAAATAAAAAGAATGATTCAAGGTGGCATAATCGGAGGATAATAGGAATGTATTATGATCAACTACAATATTTCCGCTATTTGTTTTTTTCTCCCCAAAAAAGTAAGATAGTTTGCTCATTTTGCTCCTTTTTTATTCCTACTACAGTTTTAAATGTAAAAATGGACCCTATGTACCCAGCCAGGTTTTCTCCAGCAGATGGAGCTGTCTCTCCACGGTCACTGTTCTCAGCATGAATTTGTACCAAGTTAGGAGATGCTTGTTACCTTGTACTCCTGTACCACTCCATTCTGGAACTCCTGTGGGGGCGGTTGCCAGGAGACCAGGATGGCTGTCCCGTTGTCATCGCTCTTTGTTACAGTTACCCCCTGGGGAGGGGCGCTAGGAGCTAGGAGGAAACAGAGACAGCCGGTCTTTCTGTGTTTAGATGACGAACACACTTTTTATAGTTCTGTTCAGTTCAAATTTCAGCTTTTAGTGTACAGGGCTCTCTTACATAAATATAACTCTAACTAGATTTTGTTTGGGGACCTCATCTTTCTTCCTTTGCTTAGATGATGAACTAGCAGGGATTTCCCTTATATTATTTTTTTAAAATGGGCTGGAAGGGATCACAGCAAATTAAAATGCAAGGCAAACATATTTGCAGACAGGATTCATCCAATTAAGCTCAAGAGGTACCTGTTTGTCACAGTGGAAAAGCTTTTCAGCTTTCCTTTTAAGAAGCTGTTGCCAACACAAACACAAAACAGTTCTATAGTATGTGTACTATTAAAACACTGAACAAAAATTATTGTAAGTTTTTTTTCTATTGACTGAATATTAACTTTATTAATTACCAAATCAATAAAAACGAACATATATTTTATTTATCAATCATTGCTTTTGTTACAACATGAAAAACATAAACATAACTAGAATTTCTTGTAATCCCAGCCCAATGAGTATAATTATAAGAATTAAAGCTTTGCATAGAATATGTAATTAACCAGTGCTTGATATCTATCAAAACAATCATATCCTTGCAGAGCAAGAAAAGCCATGTATAACAATCTGTACTAGACACTATATCTGTGATCTCACGTACCTTCCTCTAGAGTTTTAGCCACTTTGACCTCGCTGTCAGTCCCTTGAAATTCGTTAAAGAAAGGACGGACTTTGAATTCATACATGACTCCTTTCTTCAGCTGTGGGATGACTGCACTCTCTTCTCCAGGTGTTCTAACTTCGAACACAGACCACTCTGACTTCACCTGGCCATCCTGTGTGGGCCTGTAGATGATCTTGTAGCCTTGAATGTACTGGGACTGCTGCTCCACCTGTAAACAGTAACAGCAGACAATTATAGCCCATGTCTTTTACTGTTCACATTATCTTCAGATATATTTACACAATATTGAAAATTAAATAGAGAAGAAATAGAGGCCATTTGGTCCATCTAGCTTATTTGTCAGTTAGTAACAAACTGATCCAAAGATCTCACCCAGCCATTTGTTGGAGGAAATCAATTTCTTTTTGATGAAAGGAAAGACAACTAAAATAAACACCAACTCAGATGGTGATTAAAAAATACACCAAGTATATGCTCTTTTCTTTGCTCAATCAATTCATATTCTTAATTTTTCCTTCTACGCTCTCCTATTGGCATAACTTAGTTGTTTATTTATCTGAAAACATTGCATGTTTTGTTTCTATGTATTATTTCACATTTACAGTATATTAAAAACACCTATAATAACAAAGTAAAAATGCTGGTACTGTATATGCTAGTTTGGGAGAGCCACGTCCAAGTCAAACAGGGGGTTAACTTTCCTTCCACAGCTATTTGAAAAACCAAACCATGAGCTCATAATAATGTGGTTCCTAAATGTCTGTAAATCGTTAGACATCAACAGGCTGGCCAAAACAGCCAAACTGGCTTCATTTGTGCCACCCTTTACGAGTCTGGCAGAGAAGGTCATTTGCAATTAGTCAAACAATAAAATGACATTCCAAGCTATGCTCAAAACTTAAGTTATGTCTGAAAAATTACTCTGTGATAAACCCGTGAATACAGACAGCCCAGGTTCACAAGAAGTATTTACAGATGTTTACATTCTTTAGCTTGTCAGTGTTTTCCTCTCATTAGTTTACATACTATCTGAGTATACAACTATTTTTGTCTAAAGTTTTAATTTTCTTTATGCCAACAGCAATGTTAAAAGAATATAAAAAGCACTTTGTCTTGTGTAAAAATGGCAGCCAATTTATTTTTTGAAATAAAGAATCTTATTTCAGGTGGTCTTTATTAAACACAGTAATGCAGACTTTAAGCTTTCAAATGAACACACCCAAACCCAGCTTCTGGTCCAAACCAAGTTTGGTCTTGGCATATCTGTGGCCTACAAAGAAAGCAGCCAGGAACCTCCCTCGGTTTTGAGGTAGATAATTATAACATGTAGTTTGTAATGATGACAGAGCAAAATAAGTATTTTCTGCTTTAAATACAACAAAATAAAAAAGCTCATGTATAACACAAAAAACAGCAAATAGTACAGGGAAATGTTCTCAGCATGAACAAAGTATTTTTATTTGACTTCATTAAATACTTTTCTTAATTAGGCACATCTTTACCCTACACAAACTGTGGGTTCACAAGTTCAAGCCAGAATGAATGGACTCTCAGTAAAACCTGGAAAAGCAAGTGAAGTCCAGAGCGTCACTTCCAGTGTTGCGATGAGACATGCTGGCGTATTTTCCACAGACCATCTGCAAACTATTTCTCCCAAACTCACTGGCAGGATATTTCTTTTGTGTATTAAATTAACAATGATCAAGTGTTTTCAATATCTGAGGGCATTTCACCAAACCTTTAGTCTGGAATAAAGCATTATTTTCCTTCACAGCAGACCTCTTTGGCTCATGGAAAATACTATATTTAGAGGCAAGTGATTCTTAAAGTTGTTTTTCAATGCAGTTTCCCCAAATTTCGGTTGGACAGTATTTGTACTGCCATGTATTCTCCATATCCCAGGTCCTGGTAGACATTTTTGCACTTTTGACAAGAGCAACTCTGTGTTCTGTTGAAAATAATGATATATTTTGGTATAATGGTATGGATCCAGCAATTCAGAATCCACAACAAATAATGCAGAACAATGCGGTATACATGACACATTGCAACATGTTGTTGTTTGTATTCTGTTTCAGTCCAGCACTACTTTGTAAAAAATGTCAGTTAATGAATGCAGTGAATGCTTAATGTCACGTGTGGAGGTTTCTGGGCTGTTACCTGAAAACACCTTGTTTTTAAGCCTGATGAGTGCTCAGCCCTGTAGGGACAATCTTTTTCCAATTATAAAATTTAATTTGTTTACTGTTCCAAATTTTAATAATTTTATACTGTATATTACAGTATGTTGAATATTAAATTCATATTGAAAAGTAGGGCTGTTTTCTAAAAAAAATATTCAGTCAGATATTTGAAAAAATAGCTGATTATTGTACCTTGCTGTGAAATTTTTTCAGGTTTACATCTGCATTAAAATAAAATTAATTAATTTTGTGTTAATGCTAATTTCAACAAGTAATTAGGAAATAGTTTTGCTTTAGATTTTGATGAAAAATATATTTCACATATACTTTAGTGGCTTCATAGCCATATGGTATCATACTGTTTTTACAGTATACTGTATATATTGTAACGCAACAGGGTTCAGGTGGGCGCCCTCGCCTGCTGCCTACAC